ATGTAACTATAAAATTTGCATCTGAAAAGAAACTATAAAATTAAAAATAAAAAATTATTATTTGGAATACCAAAAAAGTCCAATGGGCAAAAATATGAACAGGTAATTCGAGGCAAAGAAATCTGCATTCCTGTGTGCACACGTGCATATACACACTCATACACACAAATATAATTTAACCTCATTTGTAGGCAAGGAAGTGGAAATGAGAAGCCATTTCACATCCATCAAATTGGCAAAAGTTTTAAAATTGAAGACATGGATAAAGAGTCATTCTCATAAACAGATGGTAAAAACATAGATTTACACAATGACTTTTGAGATCAATTTGACAATTTCTGGTAAAATTCGTAATGACCTGCCCCCAGATAATATACACATAAAAGTTCCCACACATGTGCACAAGAAAGATGCAAGAATGGTCAGAATATGCTGTTCAGATCCTGAAAAAACTAAAATGGACCTAAATGTCTGTTACAGTTTGAGTGTGTTCCTCAAAATGCCTATGAAGGAATAGCCAGGTGTGGTGCGCACTCCTGTAATCCCAGCAGTTGGGAGGCTGAGGCAGGAGGTTTGCCACGAATTTGAGGCCAGCCCGCACTACATAGTGAGACTCTACCTCAAAGAAATGAACAATGCATGTAATGGAAACTTAATTTCTCATGCAGCTGTGCTGGGAGGTGGGGCCTAGTGGGAAGTGGCTGGATCTGGTAGCAGAACCCTCACATATGGATCCATGCTGTGCTCTGAGTAACGGGTTAGCTACCTTGGGAGTCTGGCTCCTTTTCCTCTCTTTCTCAGAATCTTCTTGCCTTTTGGCCATGAGGCCAGTGCAGAAACCAAGCAGATACTAGCACCCTGCGCTCGGACTCTCCAGCCTCTAGAACTGTGAAGTGAAATAAGGTTCTTTCATTTATAAATCTGCTAGTCTCAAGTATTATGTTATAGCAACAGACAATGAGCTAAGGTAATGCCCATTACCTAAAAAAAAAGAAAGAAAAAGGATAATGGAGATTTATTAACATCAAGTCCAAGACAGTGGTTACCTCTATGGGTCAGGGAAGGAGAGGCAATAGAAGAGGGACACAGGCGGCTTGTCATATTTGTTGTGTGTTTTTTTTAATCTAGGGGTTTGATATATGGGTATAAATTAATCTTTTTCCCCTTTGTGTCAGAAAGATTTCATAAACATTCAATGTGTGAAGCAATAAATCACTGCTAAGCTCTGAAAAGGAAGCCAAAGGTTTTGATGAAAAGGTCAGTGATGGTCTGAAGTTGATCATGGAGATGTTTGTCACCAGGAGTTGTAGCTCAGTCCAACCCTACACCCTACATCCTACAGATGATTCTCTGATTTGCTGTCCCAGAAAATGAATGAAAAAGAAAATGAAGCAATAAGGTAAATCGAATAAGCTAGTGCAAGAGGCTGTAATGAATGCTAATGGCCGAACAAATGAAAACAAAATATTTCAACACTAATAAAATGTTTCATACATAAGAGCTCTACCCATCTCATGCATTCAGATAGTGTTATGTTTTAAAGTAATCGCAATGATTCTTAGTGTTCTTGTGAGTTTACTGAAATTAAAATGTACTATTACTATATTAGGGCCTAAAGAGTTACTGCCTACAGAAAACTCAATCTTCTGAGAGAATATGTACTTTCGCCAGGCACCACATTTGCAACTCTAAGTTACTTGGTTGCCTGGGTATGTATTCTCTTTACCCAAATTGGAAGAAGGATGTCAAACAGCTCCTTCTCATTGCCTCAAATCTAGACCCCCTCGAATGTGGCATTAGTATCCAGACTCATGACTGGCCCTGTAGTTTGGGGAACATGTTATAAATACTTTAGCCTTTTCTTTCAAAAAAGTTAGATTATTTTCCTCAAGGAATAAGTAAATTAAAAAAAACCAATAAATAAGTAAATAATTCCTACAAAATACCGAACAAATAAAATTCAATGTCTACTTCCAATAATAGTCATAAACAGTGGCTGGGCGTGGTAGTGCATGCCTGTAATCCCAGCACTCAGGAGACTGAGGCAGGAGGATCGCTGTGAGTTTGAGACCAGCCTGGGCTACACAGTGAGTTCCAGGTCAGTCTCAACTACATAGTGAGACCCTGTCTCAAAAAAAAAACAAAAAAATTTTTTTTTGTTTTGAGACCGTGTCTTACTAGGTTGTCTAGGCTAGACTCATCCTTGGGATCCTTGTGCTTCTGTTTCCCGTGCAGCTGGGATCACAGGTATGTGTCACCAGGTCTGGGCAATCCTAAAATCTTTTGATTACAAGTGAAAGCGAAGGACTTGCTCCACTGCTTTGATAATCCCAGGGAAAGGATTTACATCATTTCTGCTGAATCATCAGAGGCCCGTGAAGAGTAGAATCTGTACCCTGACCCAAAAAGAGTAAATGTAAAAGGACATGAATCTCAGCAACTTTTTTCCTTTGCAAAATAGCAGATTCTTGCAGCAAAACCACTTAACCTGACTTCTAGGAATTTGTTTCAATTCAGAGTTCAGTTTCTACTGAATTCATACAGGGTAGTTCTCTCAGTGATTCTTTTGACAGAGAAGTAGACATAAGGTACATGAATTCACTACTAGCTATACAGCTTTGCTGCTACCATCAAACACATTTGGCCTGGAACCTACAAGTCCAAATTAACCCAGGGTATTACTTTGTTAATAGTGAGACAATCATATATTTAATGATTAACTCATGCCTCTAACATGAGGCTTGAATACAGAGACAGGATTCTCCCTTTGGGGCAGTGAATTTAAAAGTGCCTAACGTGCCCTAAGAGGCTGGGCGAAGGCCCATGGAAATATACAGTATTTGGAAAAGGCTTTCTGAATGATTATGATGCACTAAGAGGAGAAATTGTTGGTGAATACTGATATAAACGAAAAAATGTTCTGCATCTTTCTGGAGCGTCAATTTTACTTGATAGGCAAGCATTTTTTATTTCAGTTAATAGTTACATAAGCTACATAACTGTCAAAACTCATCCGATATTTAAAATCTGGGCACTTAGTTGTGGGAAGCCTTTCTCCTGCAAAAACATGACCTCTTCCTAGCTGCTCCTTTCCCAGGTTCAGAGGGTCAGTGGGTGGAACTAGCAGTGGGCCAAGTAGGTAAGAGGCCAAACCTTAACTTCACTATTGCAAAGGACAATTCGTGCTTTTAAGATCTGTGCATTTGTTTATTATACCTTAATAAATAAAATGCTATTTGGATATGAAATTTGCGCACATTCTGGAGTAGAATGCAAAATCTGCATTCTTTTGATACCAGGGATTGAACCTAAGGGCATCCTACTACTGAGCTACCTCCCCAGCCCTTTTAATTTTGAAACAAGGTCTCGTGACATCGCCCAGGCTGACTTTGAATTTGTGATCCTCCTGCTTCAGCTGCTCTCCTGGCTAGGATTACAGGCACGAACTAGCACATTTGGCTGTGTTTACTTCTTACTACATGAACTCTGAGATTGCAAAGAAATCCTCCTCTTAGATGGACTGCATATCCAGGGAGGTAACCATTTCACTCTCTTCTGCCTGAGGTGGGAAGGCCTCTCTGAACGGCCTGGGACAATAGTTTGAAATCTCTGGGTTTAGAAGTTCTTTCGCTTCTTATTCATTTCACCACCCATGAACTGCTCCCCACTCTTGTCTCTGTTGTCTTCTATCACTGGTCTTGATTAACACTTCAAAACCTCAAAAGCTTAAAGTTCCAATATCTCATACACCCGGAGTCCTTTTTTTTTTTTTTTTTTTTTTTTTTTTTTTTGGGG